GTCAGCCCCCACACCTCACCAGCTATACCACCTCAGACTGCTGTCAGCCCCCACACCTGTGCTTCCCCAGCTTTGAGAAGGGGATGAGGACAGTGGTGCCTCCAGTTCTAACTGAACCATTTACCTGCCACTCCCTTCACAGGGCACGTAGATAAAAGTGCCCCTCAATGCTTATTGGTAAAGTGTTAGTCTATGTGATCGGCCCTCAGCTGGAAAAGACCGGAAAGTCCCTGCCCTCTAGAGCTCCTCCTGGCCCTGTGGGTTGGGAAACCATGAGACCAAAGGATAAGCCCTGGAGGGCTAGAGGGCTAGAGACTCAAGAGAAGGGGTGCCTCCTTCATGACCTTAAGGGACTTCAAAGCAGAATGAGTGCAGGAAGAGGATGAGTTTGGACAGCAGGGGCAGGAAGAAGTGGCTGTAAGAATGGCTGTGGATGGGAGACAGGGGTGGCTCTCTGGGCACTGTTCCCACACAACAGCTGCATCTTGGCAAGGTGTGGAGGCCAAGTACCTCTCTGTGGCAGGTGTCTCTGATGTGCTCAGCCAAGGCAGAGGACTCCAACTGTGGTGAGAATGAATACCACAATCAAACAACCGGGCTGTGTCACCAGTGTCCTCCCTGCAGGCCGGGCGAGGAGCCCTACATGGTAAGGACCAGCCTGGGCCCATGAACTCTGGGGAGGGGGTGTGGGAATGCTCACACTGGCACTGAGGAGCGACAGGTCACCAGGACTGGGCGGTGTGAGCTGCAGAGCCCAGTGTGCTTGCCAGATGTGCATTCTCCAGATGTGCACTCACCCGCATATTTCTCAGGTGTTAGAAATTCTTAAAGAAGTATCCCGTTCTGCCCTGTTGGGCTCGTAATCTGAATTGGAAGTGTGACAGAAATGCCTTTCAGGAACAGTCCATCAGTTCTGAATGCTTCTGTGGAAAAGCTAAGCATGCATGCTCTTTGAAGCGCCAGAGAAATGTGTGAGGTGGCAATACTTGGGGCTCTGGCAGGGTACTGAGAAAACAGAGGTTCCCTGTGAGGCACTCTGGGAAGCCAGTGGAACTAGTTAAAGGAGAACAACTGAGGCTGGACACTGCCGCCCAGCATCAGCTGGTAGAGAGGAGCAGGCTTAGAGAAAGAGCCAAGGAAGCCAGGCCTTTACAGTTCCTGGAGGATGGGCAGCCGAGGCTGGCCACAGCCAGCATGCCACCACGCAGGCCGCTGTAGTCGCTTGCTGTGTTCTCATATCCTCTGCCTTCCTGACCAGTCCTGTGGCTATGGCACCAAAGATGAGGACTATGGCTGTGTGCCCTGCCCTGCAGAGAAGTTCTCCAAAGGAGGCTACCAGATATGCAGGCGCCACAAAGACTGCGAGGGCTTCTTCCGGGCCACCGTGCTGACACCAGGGGACATGGAGAACGACGCTGAGTGTGGCCCGTGTCTCCCTGGGTAAGTGTGGGCGTGCTGCTGGGCTGACCCCTGGTTGACAAGGAGCAAAGACCCTGTGAGCAGACCCCCACTAGCACAACAGGCCTTCACAAAGTCCCCCTCTGCTGGGCGTAACAACAGGATGGTAAGTCCTGCCGCTGCCCAGGAGCAGGCAGGCAGCCTTCGGGCACTGTGTTTGAGCCTGGACCAGGGGCATCATCAGAGCCTGAACACAATGAAACAATACATGAGAAGCATTGTGGAGGGGGAATCTAATATTCTATAGGAAGATATTATTTTTAGTACTCTGGTAAAAGTGTGAGTACTATGATGTCTGTGCTTTCTGCGCTGCTGTAGTCACACACACACACACACACACACACACACACACAAAGCAAAGTGAGAATGCAACTGGTCTGAAAGACAAAAAGATTAAAAAAATCCTTCTCTTTTCCTGATGGAATGCGTTAGAAAATTCTGCCTAAAACCAGAAAATTCCTGTCTGGACACTCAATCAATAGTAGGCACAGCTGTTGCTACTGCTTCCCTCTAGTGGCCAAAAAACATCATGTCTTGCAAGACTAGAGATGAAGAGGGAAAGCATGGTGGGGGTGGGGTGGTGGAGATGGTGGTGGTGATAGTGGTGGCTGACTGTATGGTGCTGGTGGCCATGATGTGGCAGGCCTGGGAGGAGGGGCAGGGAAGCTGGTAATGTCTTACGAGAAGGAAGAACAAAACATCAGAAACATTAAACATTAAGTGAGCTATGAATTCACTCTGTCACACGCCTGTACACGCCCACACCCTGCTGGTGACCAGCTCCCACCCTGGTTTCCCCGAGTTCTGTGTTCATCTCAGGCCACCTCCTGGGTCACAGACTCAGATATCCAAATATTTGCTAGGCGGTCCCGTGCTCAGGTCCCTGACACTAAGATGAGTCAAATGTGTTTGTCTAGAGAATCTGTGAGACAGGAGAGCCTCATCCTGTAGCCTTATCCTCCAATACGCAGAAGAGCAGAAAGCTACACATGGAAGGATAGTGAACTATTCCCTGTGAAAAGATGAGGGAAAAATCAATTTTCTACCCGCATAGTTGTTGCAGTTACTGTGTTGTAGGACTCCCCCAAAAGGAACAGCAGCAACTGGTTGGTGTAGAGCCTGGGCTTGCCTCTGAGTGAGGGCAACTCAGTGGGCTCTGATGGTAGACAGAATTAGTCTCTGATAGCTTACACAGTTCCTAGAATTTTATTTTGATTGATCCATTTACTCATTGGCTTCAGATTGTTTTGTTTTTTTCTTGGTTCCAAAAAAAAAAAAAATACACAAAGAAATTCGGAGCAGCTGGGGGGTCACCTGCATAAGGCTCATCCATCCCATCATGCTTCTTTTGGAGGGAGAGAGCCCTCTGTGGAAACCCCGTTGTGAGCTATGTAACAGCTGCGTCATTTATTTTTTCTGAAAGCAGCAGGCATCTTCAGGGCCTGGTCCTCTGGTTCCTGTGGCCTCGGTGAGGACTTCATGCCAGATATGGAGGCACTAGAGGCAGGTGGAACCAGATGGAAATGTTCTAGCAACCAGCACCAAAGACGTGGGCCTTCAGCTTGTCACTGACGCAGTCCCCACTCGGAATGCCCAGTCAGGAAAGGATGCCCCAGGGTCCAGTATCAGCAGGATGCTTTTGTCAGCAACAAAGGAAACTGAGGAGTGAAGAGCCTGGAGGCTAGAGGGAAAGGACAATATGGAGAGCAGGAGCAACCAGGACAAAGGCACTGTAGAGGCAAGAGTCTAACAGCTGCCCGGAGCTAGATGGAGGCACAAGGTGAAGACTCGCTGGTGTCTGTCGTCCCTGTGTCAGTGTGGACGGTGCTGCCCTATGTTCATATGTAGAGTACAGGAGGCAGAAGTTTTGGTGGGGATGTAGAGACAGGTGGAAGACAGATGTGTTAAACCCAGTGCCATGAGACAGACCAAACTCCCACATGGTGGAAGGAGAGGTATAACACTCAAGGTGAGTGTTGAGCACTAGTTGCGCTAGAGCCATTGGTCCAGATGGGATTCATGAAGCAGCTTCACGGTGCAGGGAATATGGGCCAGTGTATAGTGAAGCCCTCCAACCCCACACCTAGCTCTCCAGTGGCTGTGGGAAGCCCTCTGACAGTGCCCCAGCGGGGGTCCATGGAGCAGTTGCCGTTCTGTTCCAGATTATCTAAAAGGGGCAGTGACTGTATGCAGCCAGTCCATGCTGTTAGAGCCACAGAAACTCTCCAGCTAAAGCAGACAAGCCTGGGACTGTGCAGGGACTGCACTACTCAAAAGCAGGTGCCAGCCAGCACTGGAGAGCTCACTCAAGAGCCATGGAGACGGTTTGCCAGAAAGCATCCATTCTCCGAAGACATTTGCTAATGGTAGCGAGCCCCCTTCTTCTAGAAGGCTTCAAGTAGATGCCATTGGCAGAATGAGTGGCAAGGTGGCACGGATTTCAGAAGCATGTTTCCGGCTCTGAAGTCCTGAGTACTTCTTTCTCTGTTCCATGGAACAGTAGCTGTATCTTCAGTATTTGGGACATATCAAGGCTTGAGTACCGCCTAAGTGAGAAAGGGGCACATGGCCATGCCTGTCTCAGTGTGCTGTGCATCACTGTACAAACATGGAAACTGGTAGTCAGTGCCCTATTTAGCTTGCAGTGAGATATGTCTGCTAAACCATTCATTCCTGAAGCCACTAAACAGAAAGGCTCCGCTTCCCAACTCTTCAAAGCTCTCTTGGAACTTCTACTCCTTCTCTCGGGATTTCAAGTTCCACAGGGCAGGACCCACTTCCTGTTGCATGGCCTACACTTACAGAACAAAATGAGGCTCTCATGCTGTCACAGAGGGCTATGGGGCATTTTGGCAAGCTGGGCAGATTAGCTCCATGAACCCCTGTGGTTATGAGCCAGGATGTAGATTTACCTGGTGTTTGTCTTTTTAAGGCTGTGGGCTGGCCCTCTCCCCTCCCTGTGGTTTGGCAGGTGCTGGCTCCCATTCTTAGTTCTGGAGGCCCACGTGGCCCAGACAGTCCCTGAACAATAGCAGCATATGGGGCTTTCCTGTTGGGAAAGGTCTGTGTGGGAGACAGCAGGAGGCAAGGACAAGGCCCAAGGAAGGGGCTAGATTTTGTAACCACCATAACCTCCCCCATTTGGCATCCCCTGCCCCTGGGCACCTCCGGCAGCCAGTTGTATCGCAGCCATGACTTTTATACAAGAGGCTTAGCACGGCCCATGGGCTGGGAAAGGCATCTGCAGCTCACAGGTTGAAAGGAGTAAGCATTGCAGGACCCAGAACATCCACTGAAAGCTTAGATCCTAAGAAAGAGGAATCTGAAAGAGGAATCAATTCCTATCATCTTAGAGGAAGTCAGGTTGAATAGAAGACTCTTTGATCCTGTTTGAACTGAGTTTTGCCCTGAGCTAGACAATTTGGGCCAGGAAGAACAGAAAAGAAGAGAGAACCTTGAGGTAGTGCCCAGCTGTCAGTGGCTCCGCCTAGCATTTTTTCTACGGTATGATGCTTCTACCATGTATTTCACTGAGGAGAAATACCACGTCAGCCTGGGCTAACCTAAAGTTACTGTTGAGTCCCCCGTGCAACCACTCTGTCTTTCACTTCCAGAGCAGAAATACATGAGACAGGCTGGTTGGTTTTTGTGCTAGGTGATGCACCCCAGTTGTAGGGCAAAATGTGCATGTTCTGAGCGTGCTACAAACAGCTCCAGCAGCTAGTGCTGGGCTGGGTGTACTGACTGCATTTTCTGTTTAACAATTTCTTTAACTTACAATGATCTTATCAGAATACAACCTCGTGCTAAGTCCAGAAGCATCTACAGAGAAAGTCAAAATATGAACCAAAAAGTAAGGGATCGCATCTTTACAGGAAGACAAATAGTCTTGACACTAGCTGGGCCTCAGGTGCCCAAATGAACATTTTACTTCCAATTGAAGAACCTGTCAGATGGCAAAAGATAGGTTCTCCACTCTTGTCTGGCTATGTACAGAACTGTAAGTGCAAACTTTTAGGTTAGTTTAGATTACTACTGAAAGAAAAAAATAAAATAAAACCTAACATTTAAAAATGTTCTCTAGGCTGGAGAGAACTAGGCTCAGTCAGTGCCTGCTGAACAAGCATGAAGATCTGAATTCCGATCCCCAATATCCATATAAAAGCCAGAAGTGACACCAAGCATCACAGAGGCAGGTGCATTAGCCAATCAGCCTGGTTGAATCAACCAGCTCCAAGCTCAGTGAGAGACCCTGTCTTTATAGGCAGAGAGCAAATCAGCTAAGGAGTGAGTCATATATTTGCCCACACAAGTACATGTGCACTGCATAGAAACGCGCATACACACATACACTCAGGAACACGGACATAAAAAAACACATGCAAAAATTCTTGCAACAATACATGCTAGAGCGGAGACCTTTGACACTTGTGCCAGGTAGGCCATACAACTTCTAAACAATTTCCTAGAGCCAACCCATCTTTAACATTTTTATAGCAGGGCTGGAGAGATGGCTCAGCAGTTAAGAGCACTGGCTGCCCTTCCAAAGGAGCTGGGTTTGATTCCCAGCATCTACATGGCACAGTGTCTGTAACTCCAGTCTTAGGGGATATGACACCTTCTTCTGACCCCCAGTGGCACCAGGCATACCTGTGGTACAGAAACAAAACATACAAACCAAAGTCCCAATCTCATAAGATAAAAACAAACAATAAAAATCTTTTTACACTCTTTCATTAGTGTTTCTTATTAAGTAACTTCATACAGATTGGTCAAATGCACAGTCAGGGCCAGGGCAAAAGCCCCTGTGGGAATCAGAAAGAGACACCCAGATGGGCATGGTCAGCCTACAGCAGAGAGTGCCTGCCTGCCTACCAAGAAAAGGCTACCTCACTGGAGGTGGCAGTCCTGGACCAAACAGCCAGCAGCCCCTGCCCAGGTCCTAAATACTCAGGTCTTCAAGTCCAGGTGGTCCACATCTCTTTCTATGTGTGTGGCTCTGGACCTTACCTTTGACAGAGCCTGACATCCAGATATAACTGGGACAGACAAGTTGGGGCCTCTGCTGAGTGGTATACCATTGAAGCTTTTCTCTAGCTCTGTACTCGAACTGTGGAGAATACAGTGCCATTCATTAACTTGTCTGGCCAATCTTTAGCAGCGGTTGTTCCTCCATGGTTTCTGGAAAGACGTGTGACCAGTTTATCCTCACTGGTCTCTTGGTCTTAAGGAGATGGGAGAAAAAATGGCATGGACTTGGGAGTGAGATGTTAGAGAGCTGCAAGCGAGGCTACCTGCCAGCAGTGGGCAGATCCACCACTGTCCGCATGTAGCTCCTTGCTTCCCTGACAAAGATGGCTTCTTGGGGGACCAGAGGGTGTGTTAGGGAGCTTTTTCCAGAGGGCTTAACAGTTAAACTGTTGTGGCTTCTCCAAGGGGTGTTTTTGAGATTGGTTAATTAATGTTTATAAGATACTCGGGGATCTGAGGATAAAAAGCTTTGAAGGAAGGGCAAGCAATTACAACCTTGATGTGACTGGTAATGGTCCAAGCTCAGGCAGGCAGAGGTCCAGGGTGCCCCAGCCCGCCATCCTGCGATGAGAACCGCATCTTACCACCCACAGCCGTCAGGAGGGCCTTCACCGTAAACAGCTAATAAAAAAGAGGTTAGGAAACAATCACAGGCGGATGTGCTAGCAGAGAGAGCTTGCGTTATAACTGACACCAGCTTACTCTATTTGATTAGACTTCTCACAGTGCGATAAATGGCCTCATGATCACCATACAGTGTTGGTTTATAGAAAATGGCTCATACCAAGATGTGAGCCAGAATGTTAAAGCATGGCACTATAGGAGGGCTGACTGATGCTGCAGCTGGGTCTCTGAAGGGGTGGGGCATGAGCAGTAGCAGGAGCATTGTCTGGGAGCACTGACTCGAAGCAGACTCACTCTGCGTGATTCATCCTTCCTTCCCAGTACAACCGCAGATGAGCTCAGTAGTTGCACAGATGCCTTTAGCCAGGGCAGTCAGTTGTATCAGTACGTGGTTTCACTCTGGGTCATCTTCAAGGCTACCTGCAGTGAGCTGTCTGGCCAGTGTCAGTCCCAATAGCCCCAGGGCCAAGTAGGCCTTTTGTGAGCAATCCCACCAACCTAGGGGCTCTGAGAAGGGTTACAACGAGAAGGAGAGAAGCAGGAAACTCACCAGTGCCGGCATATGGTGGCACATATATTTCTGCTGAAAGCCTTTGTGAAGATAGTAAACACACACACACACAAACTCTTCAGGAAAGGAAAGAGAGAAAGCTATGTGAAGTCAGGCCCCAAATCATCCCCGTTCTGGAAAAAGAGTGCTCCACTGCAGGGCATACTAAACATCCCCCAAGAAACTGAGGGAGCCCCTCAGGTCCTCAATTTTCAGCAAGCATCTCATGCCTGGCTTCAGCTGCGGCCTGGTGACATCTGGGTTGTGCCTGTGTGGTATTTCTCACTCATCTGCCTTTGTTCTGTCTCGTCTTGCCTCCCGTAGCTACTACATGCTGGAGAACAGACCCAGGAACATCTACGGCATGGTCTGCTACTCGTGCCTCCTGGCACCTCCCAACACCAAGGAATGTGAGTGCTGTTGTTTCCGTTCATTAGCAATGGCCCACAGCGCCCATGGCGCCCCCAGCGCCCACAGCGCCCCCAGCGCCCACAGCGCCCCCAGCGCCCACAGTGTGTGCGGGTGTACTCCGGAGCAGAAGTCCATGCTTTCCCCTTGGAGTCACCTCACCTCACCGAGAGCAGCCCAGATAATTCTCTCCTGTCTGTTGTATGAATATGAATCTGTGCCTGCTGAAGGCTGTCTGTCCCTGTGCCTGTGTGTGGCTCTGTGTGTGGCTCTGTGTGTGGCTCTGTGTGTGGCTGTGTGTGCCTAACAAAGGACTTCACTCTTTCTTGTATTGAACAGCACAGAAAGCATCACATGGGGAAGGAAGAAGGGAAACTTTACAGAAATCTTTGACAGAGTTTTACAAGGGATTAAGTCACTGACTGCAGCTGCCCCACATAACAAACACTATTGCAAAGCCACGGAAGACCACTTATCAACCTGCGTCTGTGGTGGATATGTTTTACGAGGTGGCTTCCGACCTGGTCGCTGTTTTCAGCACTCATTACTATAACAGACATAAACACCACAGGCGCGTTACGCATCACTTAGGATTAAAGCCACATGCTATCTTAGGTTGTGAAGTTGCTTACACGGGAAATCCAAGTCATAGTAAGGTTGGTTGTTACACTGTTCTCTTAAAAGTAGGTTAAACAAAAATGCTAAGTGCACAGTAGGATAGAATTCTTAAGTCCTAAGTCACCTCATGGTGTATTATTAACTCTCTGTAAGGTCCACCAAAAGTTCCAATCTCTTAGAATGTTGTTGTTGTTTTTTTAACTGCAATATCGCACCACCACAAGGCCCCAGCTGTCCAGCCCTGGGGTCATCTACCACTGTTTCGAATGAAGCCCGGTCCAATGCCTAGATAAGATCAGCATAGCAGGGCTGGAGATGGAGGCAGCTCGGCTCCTTTTTTCCCTTCCAGAGGACTGCAGTTCAGTTCCCAACACCCACCTCTAGCTCAGGGGGCCCAATGTCCTCTTCTGGCCTTTATGGGCACCTAGCACGCGCGCACACAGGCACACACACAAATTAATAAAAATAAAATCTTTTTAAAGACCAACAAAACAAAGATATAAACAGGGTGTTGGCTTTGCTGTGAGAGGTTTTTTTGAGTCAGATACTAAGGCTGCCATGCAGGTCAGCCGAGAGTACCTCAAACAAGTCTCCCGGCTGTACCAGCTGTCACGTTAGAGAGAGGACCCAAGACTGGCCCTGCTCATCTCATGTGACCGGTAGAAAAGCTGAGGGAACTGCAGATACAAAGATATTTTGAAAGTACTATAAAGTGCTAGATAGCTTTAAGTTCTTGTGTATATATAGAATCACACGAGACCATAAGAAATGTAGAAATGGTCACAAGTTATTAGGAAATGAATTGGTTTCCAAAAACTACATGTAAGCTCTCACCCTCATGGGTTTATAACCCTCCCTGGGCGGCTTCTTTTCTGGTCTATGATCTTTCATCTGTGGGAAAGGGTTCTCCCTCTGTTTCAGAAGACTAACGAATGGGGGGGGGGACTTTGAGATGTTCTGCAGCCAGGGCCCTTAACCTGAATCCGAATGTCAAACTTACTAAAAATATGTTTGGGGGTCACCAAGACCCGCTGAATGGAGGTAGGATGAAGGAAGGCTGGAAGGAGGCTGGCCTCATGGGATGAAGGAAAGCTGGAAGGAGGCTAGCCTCATAGTCTCCCAGGCACTACAGGATAAGACTGGGCTCCAGGCTAAGACCTGGAGGCAGGGAGCCTAGGAGTTGAGGGAATCAGAGGGCCAGACCTTTCTCTGCATTCCAAATAGTTCGGCAATTGGAATAGATTTGCATGTGTTTAAAATTGAACTTCCTACCTGTCATATGCTAATTAATTTACAAATTGGAGGAGGCCCTGGGGCTCCTGGCTGCCAGCCTCCTGTGGTGAAGTCAGCTGCCATTGCTAATGTGTCTCTGTCAGGGGAGCTATGTGAACTAAATGCCTGATAATTCTGGGATGAGGCTCTCGCCTGAGTGGAAGCTCTCAGGACCACACTACCCAGCAGAAAAAGGTTCTTTGCCTGTGGAATCTGGGAGAAGAGCAGCTCTCTTCAGGGGCCCTCACACAGATACATACCTTTCCCTAAATGCCTGGCCAGTCAGAAGAGCATCGAACCAAGGGGAGCCCAGTAGCCCAGCAAAGGGCCTGAATCCTAGAGATCTAAAGCAGTCAGTGCAGTTCTTCCTTCCCTCTACTTCCTAATTGCTTAACTGATGGCCAGATCCCAGGAGGGCCTCATTGTAGGTTTTTATAATCCAGCAAGACAACCTCCAGTCTTGGCTCCAAGGCCAGTTAGCTCCCGCTGGAGTCCTCTCAAGCCAGTGCAGGTATTTGTTTGTCCTGCCTGCAAGCCTGTGACAGCTCCCTCAGAACGTAAGGTAGCTCCACTCTACCCTTCTCTACTCTTTTACCCAGGATGTATTGTGACTGGAAAGACTACCTATAACGATAGCCCAGTGAAATTAGGAGACCCATACGCTGAGCATCCGAAGCCCCACCCAAGGAAAGCCGGGGACTGGGCCAAACCTCATCTGGCTGGTGGCCTAGGCTGCACCTCTTCCTGAAGGGTGGATTTCCTGGGCCGTGCTGAACCAAGTTGTCATTCTTGGTACTGTGAGTCAAGGACCTGGGGCACATGGGGATGCAGCTACATGCCTGGTAGAGCTGGAGTGGGCAGGAGGCCAGGTGCAGGACAGCCAGTCCGGCTACATGCCTGCATCAGCATGATGTCCTCGGCAGGAAGGACAGGGGTCACTCTGCTCACTCACGAGACTGAGCCTGCACTGGCATTTTCGCTGAGCACTGGGCAGAGGAGTATGATTCTTATCACATTCCCATGAAATGCTGGAGATAGCACACGTTTCCGGGCCTGCCTCTGATTCAGTAGGTCTGGGGATGGGGCCGGGGGGGGGGGGGGGGGAAGACATATTTTTATTAAGTCTGACATTTGAGTGTAGGTTAAAGACCCCAGCTCCAGAACCTCTCTGCCTTTGTTAGAGTGTTTATCATGAGTGAATCCACATTAGAGCTCAAGGACACGGAAAGCCCCCCCCCCTTTTTTTTAAAGTAAACCAAAGAGCAAGATGCACTTGAGTGAGAAGCTCTGTCTATGGTGTCCTTTCCCCCATGCTGTCCTGAGCATGCAGGTACCGGGGCAGCTAAGTAGACAGGCCTGTGCTGTAATGACAACTGGTGAGAGTTCTGTGTAGCGGGAGGCAGAACCTCAGGAATGGAGAACGGTGTGCCTCCACGCGGCTTCCATTGTGACTTTCCAGCCCCGAGAAGTGATCTCCCTCTCATACCTCAGCTTCCTCTGAGATCTTGTGCCCACGTCATAGTGCACACAGCCCCAGCCCTGCATTCCCAACAGCTCATCTGGGACATGGGTTACAGGGGACAAGAACACAATGCAATGGACGTACTGTGTTGTGCCTTTTTATCTTCTGTCTTTTTTCTTTTTCTTTTTTTAATTACTTGCCAGTGGCTAAGACCCATGAGTTCAAAGACTGACCTGTGGCTTACAGCACTGTAGTGGTTTTGTTTGGCTCAGATGACTCCTCCATGAGCAGAAAGCCATGGCCTCCAAAAGCATGGACCCTGTTGTTTCTGTAAAGTACTATTCACACCAGAACATGCCACACAGCGCCAAGGACATGGTAAGCAGCAGATTTCTGTAGAGCAGGTCTGGGCAGGAGCAATGCACTGCTCTCACTTCTACAGCTAGTAAGGAGCCAAGGACTCCACCCACCGCTTGCAGATCCACTACCAGGGTGTGTGGCCAGTGCCAGAGTTGAGGGGCACCTCCTTGACAACTCTAAGAACCAAATCACTCTTAAGAATCCAACCTGTTTACACGCTCTAGAGAATGCCAGCCAGCCTCTAATGCAGACTGGCACATTTATAAATTGTGTGGATTAGCAACTTCAAAGGCCCCTTCTATACCATCATCTCTTTGAACAGAGGTATAACTCCACTAAGCCTTGTGCTCACATCCCTCTAAGTCCCTGAGGAAGGTGAGCTGAGCCCCTGCAGCTAGCCTGGGAATTCTTAGTGAAGTAGGCACATCTGTCCCCACCATCTTGTCTGGTAATGAACCTTGAGTAGAAATTTCTGCCCACTTTCTGGAATATCAGTTTTGTTTTGTTTTGTTTTGTTTATTTTAATCAGCTTTTATCAAACATTTCATCCTGCTCGTTTACAGCCAGGGTCCTATGGAGGCAAACATTCACCCACAGTTGACTACCCAGAGAGATTGCTGTGGAGGACAAAATGACCAAGTGAGGGCACAGGATTGTATGGGGTATTCCCAGCTGCCAAACATTTTGATAGCACAGAGTCAGTCCACAAGTTCAACCTAATCCAGAAGAGTACGTGTGCAGGGAGCCTAGCATGCTGCTCTCGGGAACATGCACCGTGGCTGTGCCTCCATGACGGGCAATGCAGATTCTAAGGTGTCTTCTGGGCCCACCTACTTACCTTGTAAGATAGGATAGTTTGTAGAGCCATGGCTGGTGAAAGGTGTGCAGTGAAGAGCAGCAATAGCTGGTCTCTGGGCCGGCGATCTCCCTTTCCCTCTCCCCCCTCTCTCTTTCTCTTCGTCTCCCTCCCCCTTCTCTCTGAGTTTTGCCCAGCATGTGTCATGCCCACTTTACTCAACATGATACAGTGTGTTCATAATATGCGCACATCTATAATTCTGCCATGTGTTTTTCAAGGGTTTGGGATAATACAGAGAAGGTGTTTGTCTCCTTTGGGGAGTTTTCCAACCATTCTAGGGAACAGCAGGAGCGTCCTGAACTCATTGCCAGGGACCAGACTCTGCCTCCCAAGGCCTGCAGGTGTCCTGATACTCATTCTCAAACCACACTCACTGCTGCTTCTAGGTGGGCCTTTGGGCCTGCCCTGCCCCAGTGTTGATGGTGATATATAATGATGGTGAGGTCAGCCTATCAGCCTGGGAATGGGCAGGGGCTCGTGTCACTCCTCCCTCATGGAGAAACGGGGGGCACTGAATTGGGGGTGAAAGACAGCAAATAAGATGCAGGTTGTTTTTGTCATTACTATACTCGGAGCAGTCCTATTTAATTTGTTTTTGTTTTTATAAACTTCCTTTCACCTGCCTGAAACAGCTGTCTCTTAGAACATCTGGCACTCAGGCATTTATTCGCTGAGTCTTAGCTCTCTGAAACAGCAGTTCAGCCTCTCTTGCCAGCTCTGATTCTGAGAAGCCCATTGTCAGTCAGGCCAGGCTGTGGGTTGCTGCCCTTCAGGACCTGCATGGCCTGCAGGCCTGGCTGAAATCATGCAATTCTGCTCCTTCTACACACAACATGGGCCTCGGCATCTGCTGCACGGTTCCTGAGGGAATGTCTGCCTCCCTGCAGATTTCAGAAAGGGCCCTGAGGTCTACCACAGAGAAAGGGTGGGGTGGAGGACCTGAAGAATTTGGTTGAACGGTAGCTGCAGGTGTTTGGCTTAGAGAGGTCCACTTTTCTGCCATACCTCATCCCCACTTCCCCATTCTCATATGTACTCAGCAGGGCATCCTTGGCTGGGGAGTACCTGGCAGCTCCCACAGCCTGTGCAGCCTGGATGGTCCACAGATGGCAGCTGGAGTTCAGTTTGGGGAATGTCCAGTATATTGGAGCAAGGCATAGCTGGTCCAAGCAGGTAGCATCTGGGGCTTGGGAAGACAAGCTTAACAAGCAGCAACCTGCACCAGTGTTTGGCGATGTCATGTAGCCATCCCTCCCGGGCACAGGGGCATTTCATAAGTCTGTACTCACCACGCTACCTTCATTGTTTCTTTCTAGACCATAGGCCTGCGTGTATTTGTGCCCCATCCCCAAGCCCTGTCACTGCCTTGGCCTGCAAGCCCTAGCAAGAAGGGACAAGAAAAGACAGAGATTGCTGGCGTCCACAGACACAGCCCTTGGGTTTTTTTTCCCCTGCCTCTGCCCACATATCTTAAGCTCACTTGAGCCCCTTACCAAACCAACAGATCAGCTTCTTTTCAATGTCCTATTTGCTTTAGAGAAAGAAAATTAGATTCTATTCAAAGCTGGGTCAGGACAGTCCACCTGATGACACGTGATGGCTGTTTCCCAGCAAAGTGCAAATGGCAGGACCCTGGAGCTTGCCGTAGCTGGCTGGAGGGTGGGGTCTTCGCGCAGGGGTGGGCACAGCCTGCATGTCTGCCATTTGATAGGTGAGCAGGTGTGCATAGCTATGTAGACAGGACTGCTGCTGGGGACCCCCACCGTTCTCCCCTAGGAGTTATCCCCGAAGGTAAACTTCAAAAGCACAATGTAAGCTTGGGGCCTACAGGCCACAAGAAAGCTTCCGGTCTCCCCCAGAAAGAGGAGGAGACATCTTTTCCTCCCTGGCCAAGTGATTGTTCCCTTGGCCCACATCCTTAGTTCCATTTCTGTCTAATGCTGAGGGACAAGCTAGTCTCTGAGTACCTTGGCACCTCGGGGACACACAGAAATCCACCTCCAGCCTGTGCTGAGCCTGTGACGTCCTCTTCTACCTCCACACTGTTCACCTGGCCATCTGTCTATGTGTTGAACTAGAAATAAGGACAGAGACAGAAGAGTCTGCCTCTCTCCATAGGGTACATACTTAGAGAGGTTGTCAGCTAACTCAGCAGGCAGCACATTCCACTTCTGCGGGACTGGGCTCCTGGGCTGGCACAGGCCAGATGGCAGGAGGCCTTCCTCACAGCAGCCCTGTGTTTCTCTGTTAGACTGCTGCCCCTGCTTGCTCCTGACCAAAGCCTGATGGCTTTGTGAGCTGACCCCAGTGCACCCTTCAGGCCAGTCCTCTTGGCTGGCTGGGATGGGTTGTAAGGGCATGACTTCAGGGAGGTTGGGGGCCCTGTCTGGACTCACTACTGCTTTTCAGAAGCAGAGGGTCATTTTGTAAACCTCTCCAGAGCAGAAAACCAGCAAGGACAAGAGAGAAAGATAAAAAAATGTAATTCCCTTCTCCACTGCAGGCTGGCGTCACATCTGCAAGTGTTCTGCCTCTGCCACTGAGCTACAGTCCAACCCTGTTGTTTTTTTTATCAACTGAAAAACTCATTTGACCTAAAGAAGGATACTTATCAGAAAAAACACATGTAGTTGTGGTTTGTCTGGTTGCAAATCAGCTTCTATTTTTCTCCATGCTGAGTGACACTTTTTCTTTTTTCATTTTTTTTCTGGCTTTTTTTTTTTTTTTTTTGATTGTTTGTTAGGTTGGTTGGTTTCGTTTTTGTATTTTTGAGACAGAGTCTCTCTATTTAGTATTGACTGGCCTGGAAGTCACTGTGAGGACCAGGCTGGCCTTGAACACTCAGAGATCTGCCTACCTCTGCCTCCCAGTGCTGGGATTAAAGGCAAGCACTACAATACCACCTGTGCATGTGTGTGTGTGTGAGAGAGAGAGAGAGACAGAGAGACAGAGAGAGACACTTTTTTTCCTGTGGTAGGAGAGTGATGAGCCATGGCTAGGAGGGAGAGCAGGGCACATCCATTCTTAAATGTGTTGGCTGAAACTATCATAACAACTTGTCTTCAGCTCAGACTGCTGTGCAATAGTACAGAGCTTGCCTGGCACCCATGAGGCCAGCACCACGGAATCTTAGAAAGAACCCCGGAGGAAGTACATCAGCACTGAGAATGTTACTGTGAGGCTCTACTGCCTCCTTCTGCTTCTTCCGTAGGATTCATGTTTTCAGATTTTTAGTAATGAAGGCATACTACTTTTTTTTACTTGAAAAATTTTAAGAACATATGTTTGCTGTCCATAATTGAAAAAATTAATGAAGGATTATACCCCCTAAAATGCTTTCCTAGATGTGTGCTGTCCTTCACACAGAGCACACTGTCGCAATTATAGCAAAACTGGGTTCGATGAGGCAGAGCTGTCTTCTTGTTTAAAGCAAGAGAGCCCCTGTGGATGGAGATGGTTCGGCGGCACGAGCGCGCGCTGCTCTCGAGGAGGACTGCTCTTCACTTCCCAGCGACACACTGCTGGGCCTCAGCCACCCGAAACTCCGGCTCCAGGCTCCCAGGGCCCTCTTCTAGCCCTTCCTAGGCACCCGCACACACATGGTGCACATACAGATCACACGTACACACACACACACACACACACACACACACACACACACACAGATTTCTAATATGTCAGAACACTCTTTGGGGAACATTAAACACACTAGGAAATGAAAACACTTCCTCTCTGCCCTACTCCCCGCAATATCGTCTACCACTCCAGACTGGCTCACTTGCCTCGATGTCTTGTTTTCCATCCTTGGAAGGTGAGGCTTTGCCAGATCTCTGAGGTTATCTGCTTTCTTGCAGGTGTGGGAGCCACTTCCGGGGTTTCTGCTCACTCCTCCAGCACTTCTGGTGGCAGCACCTCGTCCCCCTTCCAGCATGCTCACAAAGGTGAGGAGGGTGCTCAGCTGTGGGTCTTCTAGAACTCAGAGAGCTGAGAACGAGGAGGGAGAGGGTCAGCTGTCAGCAATGAGGATGGTGTCCTTCCCTCTGTCACTTATCACATGATCACACTCAGAGCCCCAGCTGCAGGACCTTGGTGCACAATTACTACTCCATGGGTGTCCTGCTTCTCCCCCAGCCAGTGGCAGGGTGGGAAGTGAGTACTTAGACAGTCAGGAGCCAGTGTCAACAGTGTTTTACACTTTTAATACTCATTTCCAATGACTGTTTCTTCTCTCTAGCTCATTGGAAATATGGTTGAGAGACACTCTTCCCCACCTGTGTTTCTCTAAGAGCAAGCCCTTCAGCTTGTCCCTTCTCTATGGTTTTAATGCCATCTGGTTTTTAAGCACATTTGGGGTTGGGTCTCCAGGAGGTGTGGGGCACCTTCAAGATCCCTCAAAGCATCAGTGCACAGCTACATCCGGACGCAAGCGATGAGGGCAGTGTGCAGACACGCCTAGTTCGCTTCCTCCAGCGCCTGGGAACTGCATGCAACCAAGAATAGCAAGACCTACATCACCCATCCCCCTCTCCGTGTAGTCACGATGCACCAGATGACGTCAGGGGCCTGGACAGCCCCCCAGGCTGTCAGCTCTGCACCCCCTTCAGATGGCCCAAAGCTCCAGATGCCTGCCACTGACTCTTTGGGTAACAGGACATTTGGACCCTGCTTCATGGGAACCAGGTGTCCTGTTTGGTTATTTTGGAGAATTTGAGGAAGGTTTCGGAGAGTCCACATATCCAGAGCTGTATCAGGGAACCAAGCAAACAGCTCCAGGATAAGCAACAGCCAGGCAGAAGTGGAAACAAGAGTTGCTGGTTCAGTTCAGCCCTCTTTACCCTGAGGCTCTTGTTAATGTGCTGAAGATGAGGTGCATGTAAAACCAAACCTAATCTCTAGCCCGAGGGGCAGCCTTTCGCTTGGAAGAGCCTGAACTTGGACTATTCTGTCTCCAGACACTTATTCATGCTCTTTCATCCTCCTTTCTCCCAGGATCTCAGAGTAGTAACGCAGAGTAAGCACCCAGGAATGACTTCTTGGTTTTGCATTCTGATCTTCCAACTCTAGTGCACAGGAGCCCACTTGACAGTGCAGGAGGAGCTGATGGGTGGTTCTGACCTAGCAGCCAGTGCACACTTTGAGGGTCAGGTTCATGGGCCAAGTATGATCCCTGGAAGCGTTCCTGTGACTGGGTTGGGTGGGTGCTGTGGCTTGGAGGAAGGGCCTTCAAAGACATTTGTCTTCCTCTCCTTGATGCCAGCAGAGCTCTCAAGCCAAGGACACCTGGCCACCGCCTTGATTATTGCCATGTCTACCATCTTTATCATGGCCATTGCCATCGTCCTCATCATCATGTTCTACATCATGAAGACTAAGCCTTCAGCTCCAGGTGATATCCCCACACCCATGTCTCCATCCCAACACTCTGTCACCTTTCCTGAGAGAGCCAGGGAGCGCATGCCAACCTTTTTCTTTCTTTCTTTCTTTCTTTTTTTCTTCAAGCAGCCTGCTGTACCAGTCCCCCAGGAAAGAAGGCAGAAACCCCAGTTAGCACACATGAGGAGAAGAAGGAGGCCCCAGGTCTGTACACACAGCCCACGCTGCCCCACCACAATGTCTAGCGTGAAGGTGGAGTATGTCCACCTTGTCCTCAAACCTGGCAGCTCAGTCTCCGGAACCACATCTGATTCCAGAACCCTTTGAGGGAGGTTCTGTCCCCAAGTGGGGACCTGGCCACCAGGGATATCTACTGAAAGGGAAACATGAAGGGAGATCCAAGTTCAGAGCCACAAGCTAACTCTCACTTTCCCCCATCTTCCATTCCTACAGACAGTGTGGTGACTTTCCCTGAGAATGGTGAATTCCAGAAGTTGACAGCAACACCCACAAAGACGCCCAAGAGGTACATGGAACAGGAACTCGCCTACACTCACTACTTGGTAGAATAGTCCCAGTCCCCAGAACTGAATTACCAGCTGGGTAATATGTCCTTGAGCAGGCAGGCAAGCTGTATCAGTGGGTGCACTGGGTAGCTGGCGCCTGGCCTGGAGCTGTTCCAGGGTTGTTGGAGAGCATCTTCTGCTGGAGAAGGAGGCAATATACACTAGCATTGAATTTCTGTTTCCTCATTGACTGCAGGAGCTGGTGTATGCTGGGGCAGGCATAGCACCTGCCTGCTACTCCCCATTGCCCACTCTCCCAGATGCCCTGAACATCTTCCTCCATCCTTCTCTTCAAACTGAGGAAAGAACATGAATGCCAGGATACACACACCCTGGTCAGGTTCCCATAGCTGCTTAAAATGCTTAAAACTATGCTTAAAATGCTTTAAAACTAACAGCGCCAGCCCCAGGCCTAAGACGGGCCTTGACATATCAATAAAAGTAACAGGCTGATGCCATCCCCACTTCCAAAACTGGACCAAGATCACACACTAGTGATCAACAGAGCTGGAATCAAAGTCCAGGCTGTCAACCATGAAATATTAAGGCTTGGTGTAATAAGCCTCTGGGGGAAGAGATTTGCCTGATGGTATTTTGGTATATTTTCTAAACACTGGGTCATAGAACTTGCCTCTGCTTTAAAATCAACTGAGGAGGGAAGTTGTTTCCTATTGTCCCCATTGAGTAGCTATTTGGACTTGGTCCTTGCAACTCTTCAGCACTAGCTCCCAGCTCCTGGCTCCTTCTGCTGTACTTCTGCTGTACACTGTGGCTTTACAGGCAAAAATGGGAAGAACCCCATCTATCCAATGCCATTCTTTGCAACTGGGGTGCAGAGTTGCCAAGGGTTGCCAAGCCAAATGCCAGAAGAGCAGAATGCCAAACCATCCTTCCTGACCCAAGACAGGATCTTCCCACGACCCAAGAATTCCTGCCAAGTCCTTTCTGCTTGAGGATAGGACTCCAGCTACCTGGACCCCAGCTACCAGGCACTGAGGAAGGCCAGCCTAGTGCATTAGCCCATTTGAAAAACTCCCAACACAGGCATCTCTGGACTTAGTTCCCACAGTGCCTTAATTCTAACTGGTCATTGCTCAGACTCTGGGCAGTGGCACCCTGTCAGACGTGGTGCCAAGACTGAGTCAGGGCTCTCTCTAAGTATGGTGCCATCCCATTTGGTCCCAGCTTGGCCCTTCCATCCTTTCAGGACTTTTTGTTCCTGAAAGTAGGAAAACGGGGTGGTGAACAGGCAAGAATGTGGCCTATGGCTTGAGTTTCTCCTGAGAAGAAAATTTGTAGGACAGTAGTTGGGGAAATATATACTCTTTGCATATGTAAATATTAAGCTTTTGCTCTAAAGACAAGGTCATGAGCCATTGTCCCTACAAGCAGCTCTTGGATCTTGGAAATGTGATTTAGGGGTTATGTGGTGATCTTTGGGAATGCCACGAGGTGACCTACAGGGATACAGTCATGCATTTCCATGTGCCTGCCAGTCAGTGATGGGGACAGGCCAGCTACCTCCCTCTTAGGTCCTCAAGCACAATGACAAAGGGGCTCTGTTAGATTGTTTCATAACATTTTTTTCTTTTATTTTTTCTTTGTTCTGCCTCCAGGGCTGTGTTTGCATATGGTCTTTCACTGCTAACAGTAATACTCAAATGGACAGTGTGGCAAATATAAGCCCTTTCTCTAAAGTTCTTTAGCCAAAGCAAGAAAGTTAGCAGAATGCTTTGCGAAAAGAATATACTTTTACTTTGAATGATTTGAGGGTGTAAGCTCTAACCCACAGATGCCAGGTCCCGTGTGACCTGAGCAATCAGCAGGGTGCAGCACATGAGGCTAGTGTGTGTGATCACCATCCTGTCCACAGCTGGGGCCTCTCTGCAGCTCCTACAAGATGTCACATCAAGCCACCGGTCAAGAGGGCTTTCCCAACCTGCACTTTTTGTGTGTTCTTGGTTACTCTAGAAACCCTGGATGGATTGATTTCACCCGTCTGACCTAGTAATGGTTGAACTTGTCTTGCTGGGGTTCAGTGCAGGAATCTAGAACACGCTCAGTGAATCTTCACCAAGCACCTGTGGTGTCAGACAGTGTAGAAAGATGTGCATGTGCAACCCTAACCACTGCTTCCTGGGAGTTTCACGCAGACATCACAGTCCCAGAACTGCTTGTGTGTCAGGGAATAAGATGTGCCTTTCTCACTCATGTCTTCTTACCTAGAGCTCACGAGGTGTAGAAAGTGCTTAACGAACAAGACATTGTCCAGTGCTGCCCATACCCAGCTAACAAGATTAGTGCCGAGGTAGCTCATCAGGGTTGCGGTTTCCCAGCTTCACTAACAGGTACTCTGCTTATTTCCTCAGTGAGAACGATGCCTCCTCTGAGAACGAGCAGTTGCTGAGTCGCAGTGTGGACAGTGATGAGGAGCCAGCCCCGGACAAGCAGGGGTCCCCGGAGCTATGCCTGCTGTCACTGGTTCACCTGGCCAGGGAGAAGTCTGCAGCCAGTACCAAGTCTGCTGGGGTGAGGCTTTGGCAGCATGGCCTACGGTACACTGGCGCAGTGATTTACAGCCATCAGACAAGAGCCCTCATACTCAATACGCTGCTTAGGACACTTTCTTAGCTAGGACGCTAAGCAAAGCAACAGGTCGAAAAAAGAAGGAAAAAGAAGAAATTTATCTTAAATACATTGCTTATAGACAAAGAGAAAATTAAAAAAATCTTCACAAACATACTGAGCATATTCAAGCAGTTACACTGGCATATGCACACACACACACACACACCTGTGTGTATTTGTGGGTTCTCAACCCATGAGTCCATTTAGCAGAGCTAAAGAGAAAACTGTGCGAAATATGTGCTCCTTATTCCCATGAATTCCTAAACCATGCATAACACTTCATGTGTTAGTTAGAAATAATTTGAGGAAGATTTAAAGTATATGGGATGATGTGAATAGGACCTATGCAAATAGACATTTTACCTAGCAGTCGTAAGCACAGGCATTGCTATCCTAAAAGGTGCTAGAACCAAGGAATGATATTATATATGTCAACACATGTGCGTGCGCACACACATACACTTATATAGCAACAGACCCACTGGCACAAATTCTCCAGAGGGTTTTTATCCGTAAAGCAGGCTTTGGAATGTCTGTGGCACAGGGTGTGCTCTGAGGCTTGGGCATACATTCCTTCTTTAGTCTGTGCCTCAGGCAGCCCTGCCAAACCACGTGCCAACATTGTTGGTAGTAAAGAAAACCCCCAGAGATCCTGGATCTGCTCCCGCATCCTATGTGCAGCGATCGAAGAACCGGGAGTTCGTGCTGCCCCCCACAGTCATGGGTCTTTTCACCCAGGGCCACTCGTTGCCTATCATTGCCCTGAGCTTTCTGCCCTGGGAGAGAGAGGCTTCCATAGCTCTGCTAGCTCCTGTGTGAATGGCTGCCCAGGTGGCCATCTGGGGTCCTCATTGCCATTCTTCTAAACACACCAATGACAGCACTAATGGTGGTGTCCTTTTTAAGACAATTAGCAGCCCTGGTGTGCACAATTAGCATACACAGGGAGTGTTTCCATAAAACGCTCGGGACATTCTCCCTCCTGGTATGTTTGGGTTGCTTCCACCTAAGGCCTTGGCACAGCAAGTATGCTTAAGCATCAGGGCCAAGCCAGGGCAAAGGGGAGGATTTGGGGCTTTGCTGCTGACTTCCCCCTTTCTCTTCATGAATGAAGACTGAACATTCTCTTCATTGTTCATTTCTAGATCCAAAGCCGAAGGAAAAAGATCTTGGATGTGTATGCCAACGTGTGTGGTGTCGTTGAAGGTAAGGGGTCATCAGAGCTGGAGGTGAGGTGGGCACCTTTCATCCCACGCCGGGTGTGCTGTGGCAGACCTGTAAGTGCATACCCCAGCACCTGAGACAGAGGCAGGGGCATCTCTGAGTCTGAGGCCAGCCTGGCCTACGTAGTGAGTTCCAGGATTGCCAGGGCTATGTAGGGAGGCTCTGTCTTAAACTGTCTTAACAAACAAACAAAGAGCCATCCAGGGCACTCTTCCCTGAGATGATACCCCCTCAATGCTGGGCATGGAAAGGGCTGTGTGAAGAATTGAGGACAGCTATACACATTTGGTGAATGTTGTCAGGCCCCCATCAGGCTGACCAAGTGAACTGACTTCTGATGTGGAGGGAAAGAAAATTTGATTCCTGGTTTAGACTGAAGCACTGCATAGTGCCTCACTTGCAGGACAAGAGCCAGCCCAGTGCGCTGACACAGAGCCACATGGGGACAGAGCGATGGGGCCCCATAGCTCCTGTGCCTGTTTCTATACTGGTATTGCCACCAGGGGAATATCCTGTGGCACCCAGTAGTGCATGCCAATGGGTACACATTCTAAGAAACACATAGGTATATGATTTTGTCCTGTGTCAATATCAGGTGTACAGACACAAACTAGGGTCACAACATCAGCAGGTACACCTGTGGAGCCAGAGCTTCCTGTCAACGACAGGAACATCATCATGCAGGGCATGGCTGTACCTAGAGGGTGTTATCTACTGTCTTGAGCTCCACCAGACACACTGAAGTGGCCATAGAGGGCTTATCCCTCCTTCCAGAACAAGCACATGAGCTGCAAGGTCAGACTGCCTTCAGCAGGCAGGCGAGGAAGAGATCACAGGACAAGAGCCACAGACATTCCAGTCTGTAATCCCCCTGTTATGAAATCCAGGCCCTAAATTAACTTCTATTCACCCTGGAAATAAGCCCCACACTGCTTATGTCAAGGGACTTCCCTTCCTCCTTCCTTGCTGGCATCTCTCCACACACCTCTGGTCTGGCTGAACCATGGGCCTGAAGAGAGTCACATGCTGCCAGTCAGGTCCCATGTGGGAGAAGTGCAGGTCCTAAGCTGGGGCAGGCCGGTTAGATGCTCTGTTTGGCCAGAAGTAACCACTGAGCAGCAATTCCGGGGCCAAGAATTCTTCTTGGCTGCCTTCTAAAACATGGCATGGCTCCATTAGTACATGCCTGGTCAGACTGCTCAGTCAAGCTTGGCATGGTGGGTGCTGTTGGCTGCCCAGAAGAATATGGTCTAGGAGCTACATTCCAGCAGCCCAAAAGCCCTTTCTCTGTTCCAAAGAATGTCTTGGCTTTGAAAGACCAAACCCACAGGACTGTGACTTTCTAATTAATTTAAAACTTCAACCATAAGAAGAGCCCTCCAGTGGGTCCTGTACGGTGGAAGCTTCAAGCCTATGCCCTCAGGTGCCCCTTGACAGCCTAGGCATGTGTGCCTCCTAATGCCACGGTAGTAAGACACAGCCAAGGCTGAGTTTTTAAGGCCAGGATGGCTTGGCTCCCAAGACCATTAGAGTCACATGAAGACCTTAACACTCACTCTCACTGCCTACCCAGCCTGCCCAGCTTCCTCTAGAGCCTAATGTGGTTAGCATGGCACCAAAGCCATCCAGCTTTTTGAAAGGCAGTTTTTATTGATGTACTCTTCCCGCTCACCCCCTGTCCCCGACAGGTTTCTTTGTAGCCCTAGCTACAGTGTCCTGGAACTCACTCTGTAGTCTGGGCAGACTTTGGAAATGTCTGCATAGACAATCATATCCACACACAAGGACAGTTTTATTGCTTCCTTTCTAATCTGTGTGTGCTTTTTTTTTTTTTTTTTCTGGCTTCATTACTTTGGCATGTTGTCACATATAAGGACTGTGAGCAGAGCCCTGGTCTTGATCCTAGGCAAACATTCAGCTTTTACCAATAAGCACAGTGCTTACATAAAAGTCACTCTAACTTTTGAATACAGAACCAGAATTGTATCCCTAGAATAAGTGTCACTTATCATAGTAAATTGTCGTATTGTTGAATCCTCTGTTAATATTTTGTTAAGCATATTGGACTTGGCCTACTTTCGGTACCAGACTGGAAAATATTCCCTTCTTTCCTATTTTCTGGAAGAGACTATTTAGAACTTATGTTAATTCTTTTTTAAACACTTGGTAGATGTTTAGAATTGATCTCCCACTGACTTTCACGTGTGGCCTGTAACCGTGAGCACTCTTCTCTCAGGCCTCAGCCCCACAGAGCTGCCGTTTGACTGCCTTGAGAAGACAAGCCGAATGCTCAGCTCCACTTACAACTCTGAGAAAGCGGTCGTGAAAACATGGCGCCACCTTGCCGAGAGCTTTGGACTGAAGAGGGATGAGATTGGGGGTATGACCGACGGCATGCAGCTCTTTGACCGAATCAGCACCGCGGGCTACAGCATCCCAGAGCTGCTCACCAAGCTGGTGCAGATAGAGCGGCTGGACGCTGTGGAGTCCTTGTGTGCAGACATACTGGAGTGGGCCGGGGTTGTGCCACCTGCCTCCCCACCCCAAGCTGCATCCTGAGGAGTGTGCCTTGGGCTGTCCTCCCTGGGACCAGCTGGGGATCCAATGAGGCCACTGCAGCTGTGGGTGATGCCATCGGACTGCCAAAACTCTAGGCTTATGCTGGTGGGTCACTGTCTTCTTTGGGCTAAGGAGCCCTTCGAGCTCAGATGAACCAAACCATGCGGGGATGACACAGGTGAAGGATTTGATCCTGTCTTTTAAGGAGGCACTTGGGAGCCAGAGGGCATGGTACAGACCATGTCACCAGAACATCACACAGGCTAAATGAAGGGATGCTAGGAAAACATAGCAAAAGTTCTAAGAAGGGTGATGGCATCTCATGGAGTTAAAAATGGGGGCATCTGAATGAAGAAAATAGCTTGAAGGTTTTAGTAAAATGGTTACAACGTACAGACATCCCACTTCCTGCATTGCTTCAGACTGAGCACAGTTTGTTTGGTAAGTCAGGGGTAACTTGACCTGTGTTTGCAGTCACTGACACACAAGGCATGTCTGCCCAGTGAAAAATGTGGGCAGATTTGGCCTCCAGCACCACTTCCAGACACAACAGCTACAATGTGTCAGGCTGGCTTTGCTTCATATTAGGTATGTGTTCTCTCTAGATAGGGAAATGATGACTAAGAGTTTGACCATGCCTGAGTCTAGATTTCAGGAGTAGCCAAGATTCATGGATAAGGCTTGTGTGAGTTCAGGCACAACATCCTGACCAGTGAGGTATGGTAGAGCCTGAGGTACAGTACAGAGCTGGGGCCTGGAGTCCTGGGCCCTGGGGAAGTCATCCAAGGTGGCTGTTGTCTCTTCCCCTAGACTTAGCTTCTCTTCTGCAAATGAGAAGTTGGTCTTCATGTCTGTAGCAAGGAGAGTCAAGGGTCAGGTGAGCAAAAGAAAATGGAGGCAAGAAAGGAGAGGCCACAGGAGCCTCCACGTGGTAGATACAGTGTGGGCAGCCACATAAAAAGGGAGTAAAAGGGAAACTCACAGCTGCAATTCTCATGTAAGGGCAACTGTAGTGTTGACAGCATTTACAGAGCTAATAAACGGGCATTGTCTTGGCAGATTCTCTTACTACACCTGAAACTGCCAAGAAATGGGAAGCCAAGGGAGCTTTCCCGCCAAGGGGTTAATACAGAGCTGGCTGCTGCACTCCCTTCTGAAGCACTGGCTCTAGTGATTGTTAAATTACAATAAAGCCTCTGGTTTAGAAGGCTGTGGGCTTTTTAAATTACAAGTCATATGACTGAACAAAAGCCTTTTGGGGAAATCAGTTGTGTGTTTAAAACCATCAAGCAATTTCCCACCACTGAATATAGACCATACTGTGAGAGGACCATAATAGGTCCTGGATATATAATATGATCATTTTACTGTGTCTGTTTGTGCTGGTGTTTTAGAAGGTATTTGCTATATCCTGCAAGTTAATGGTCTGCTTAATTACCCTTTTAATTCTTCCTTGAGAGCCTGTGCTGCTCCTTACCCTGGGTCCTCAGTAATGATGTTGAGCTTGCCCTTAATTGGACTGTAAATGTCATCTGTGATGAGTGAGCAGGTCTAGGATAGCAGGCTCCTCTCCAGCTGTCACTCTGGTGAAGAATGGGCAGCTGCAGTCAGCAGTGTAGGCTGGTCTCTGTTCGCCTATTAGATTTCAAGGCTTGAGGGCAGCCAGCATCCATATCGTTTCATTGACTCCCAGCTTTGTCGTTTATTTCGACAATAAATCTAGGAAGAGTTTGTTTCAATGAGCTATGCCTGTGCTGTAGAATTCCCAACCAACAATGCCATGATTCTTACTGACCAATGCTCGATAAAATTCTATGCTACCATTTTTGTCTGGAGACTGTCATTATTTTTCAGAAAAGGTATTTAGTACACACCCAGTCTGAGGTCCTTAGACAGTAAAGTTTTAATTGTGAATATTTTATATAATTCTGTTTATATAATTTATTATATTTTTATAAGCTCAATAAACATGTTAATAAAAAGATGTACAGACTGGCACCGTGTGAACTCTTATTGAGTGCTGCAGTGTGAGTGGAGAAATGAGTGCTCCTGGTCACTGTACTGTGTATGATGAGACTACGGAATTGTGGCCATCCATGAATGAACTATCTAAAATGTTAGAGCATGGAGGTGCTCACGAACAGTGACAGGCATATATGGGGAACATGCAAAAACATGGAACACTCTTTTCCATGTCACCACCATTAGTTATAAACAGTGTTACCAACCCCAAATTACTATGTTTTGGAACATAGTCATTTCTCAGTCTAGCTTTTGGGTCAGTAAGGGCCAGCGGAGTCTACTTGGCTGGGCTGTGTTCAGGCCTCTACCTGCTAGACAACCTTGACTAGGGCAGCTCTGTTCCATCCTCCTTTATCCTCCTCCACAAACCCGCTGGAGAGCCTGAGCTGGCATGATGCTCATCATGGCAATGCCAGAAGCCAGGAAGGAGAATGGAGGCCATCTGAGGGTTTGGGTTTAGAACTGACCTCCTGTCATTTCTGGCTCATCCTATCGACAAAGCAAACCAAGTGGCCAGACCCAGAGGCAAGAGTAAGAAAGGAGACCACCCCAGTGGCACTAGGAGGGAACAAATAACAAGCACCATGGAAAATAAGACAGTGTGTTAATCGGCCACCAGTGCTGAAGAGCAGCAAGCATCATCTTGGTATCCAGAGAATTGGAGAACCACTGAACGCAAGGGAACAAAACTTATCTGGTGTCTGAATGGTTTGTTTCCCTTAGCAGCTGTTTAACTTTTAAATGTGGAGCTAAGAAGGTGAAAATGGGAAGAGAGGGCTAAACCTATGTGACTGACAGTCAGCCTGAACATGAACATCAAACATCCTGGAAAAACCTCTCGGTTCCAAGGAGAGGGCTGCTGGTGCTCCTGTGTGCATCTTCTGTTGTGCCTGATTCAAGAGACCCCAAAAGACCACTAGGAGTCCGTTGCAAATCACAGGAGGATCTTTATTCAAGCTTAAGCTTGGGCCGCCAATCTTCCCTGACACAGCAGGTCACAAAGTGAGGCCCCGAGTCTCACAGGGACAGAATTTCTTAAAAGGAAAAAAATGGCAAGAGGGGAATTCCAAGCCTTAGAGTTACAGAGAAGGGTAAGTTTTGGGTAGGAGGATTCAGCAATCGAGATGACCTTTAGGCTAACTGTTCCAAGCCACCTGGCCAAATTGACAGATATCTAAGATATCTGTACAATAGCCTGCTAGCTGGAGTGGAGGACCCACTAACACATTCTGTGGCATTTATGACAACCTGTGGGGTGGAGGCATGATTATAGTTATCTATTTATACATTCTGTGGTATCCATGACAGCCTGCAGGGGGGAGGGCCATGTGGCTCTTCTCGGAACACAATGGTGGAGGTCAAGCCACTCCAAGATCAGTCAATTTAATATAGAGTCTGAGAAACAAAATGGAGCCACCCCTGCCACCCTCAGTTCCTCCACTTTCCATCACTGGCACGGCTTACCTTTTGATTAGGAACAGTCCTCTTCTGACAGCAATGGTGAGCTTCTCCTCTATGCCTCAGTTTCTTCTTTGCACACACATAGTAATAATATGGTTTTGGGGGACTGTGATTATAGTGAACATGTATTATTACACAGCACTTCCCCTGGCAGGTAATAATAAATAATAAATGTTCACTATAATCACAGCATTATTAGCCATCTTTCAGGCTACGGAAACTGATAAGCTTACTGCAAAGTTTTCTAAGTAGGATTTGGTTAACAAATATTATTGAAAGACTTGCTACAATCACTACCAGGAGCATTAGTCTCTGTGTAGGATACAAGGAAAGAGGAAGTTCGCTTGACTCTTGGCACACAGACTCTTAGCTCCCTGAGAAGTTGCAGCCTTTTCACAGAAGACTCTGTCTCCATACCCTGTAGGCCCTAGGTCATGGCATCCACTGCATGAAAGGTACAAGACTCCTACTTTGGTCTTTAAATCCATTTTTCAAATGCCAGAGACAACTGCTGTTGAACTAACCTGACCTCTAAGAACCAACCAAGCATCCTATGGTTCATTTGCAATTCAAAATTCAGTGTACAGCATGGATAAAAGAGTCCTTCAAAGTTGCAGTACACCTAACAAATGTGCTTATATATTCCAGAATTCAAGTTCAAGCTGCTATTAGCTTAAAACCTAAAGGTCAGTGCCATGGTGTGTGAATGTATCTTTAACTTTATTTGTACCTTATACGGTCCTTCTTCAGGAAGGGGCACTTTACACAATCAAGACATGCCTGTGCCAATATGGGCAGGGTAGTTCATTGAGTAGGAATGAGTCTAGGAAGACCTGGTCTTCAGATAAGAAGGAAGCACACAGAGCCAGGGATGGAGGAGGAAGGTGTGCCACTCCACCTGCTCCCTTAACATCTCCTCACCTCCAGGTTACTAGGTCTTACTCAGATAACCTGCATCGTGTAATCCAAATGCTGATTTTTATAAACACCCCTCTCCCTCACCCCCCCCATCTGGTTGCAAACTTTGTTCCAAGAAGCTCCTGTCTCAATGTTGTGTAAACACTGTTCCTCAATTGTCCCCTGATAATGCCAATAAAACAGCTTACGCCCAATCACTGAGCAGGAGAGAGAAAAGGGCCCTGCCAGCCAGGGGTAAGAGGAGTTGGAGGAAGTAAGGGATTCAGCTATGGGCTGATGTCCAGGCAGCTCAGCAGGGAAAGACACAAAGTGCAAGTACCTCTGAGCTATGTGCTGGGAGGAGCCAGATTAATTTAGAGGGTTAAGAATAGAGTTAATACTACTTAGGACTGTGCTGTAAAGCTTGTTAAAATAATGTAATGGAGTCTCAATTAGTTGGGTGATAGCTGGGTTAAAAGAGAAACTAAGAGAAACAGTTTTATAAAAATTACTGTAATACCACCCCACTGTTACCGCTCCGTATTTGTTTTATTACATAGGGGAATTTATCAATATAACAGAACATGGACCTGTTCTGACTCCTGAGAGACTGTACTTGC